GGACCAAAATACAAACTTTCTTCTCACTCCCTCCACCTCTCCACAATGAGCCTAAACTCATATGCCTTTGCAGGCAACCCTATAAGATCAAGAACCCCAAAACAAACTGATCCATTATCTCCTCACTCTGCACTTCAGAATCTGAAGACCCTCCTTTTGAGTCACAGTCAGGAACCCATTTACCCTAGTAGTTGGGTTTTTTGATACCCAATAAATCTCGGGCTATGATGTTAACGTGGGTTAATATTATTTCATAGACATAGATCAATGAATGAAATAAGTCTAACAACCAAGTCCATGAGCTACACCCGACCCAATTGTATTCCTTATGGATGACTTGAATCTTGGCCCGTTTACCCCTTCAATGGCCCAACTTAAAGCCTAACCCTAGAGTATATATTTGGTTATAACCCTAACCATTTTCATATGATGTTTTGTGTGATTTTGAGAGAAGAAATAGTGAATTCCGGCTGCCCCCCTTTTGTGTGAGAAAAAGGTGTTCAGAAGTGTCCAGAACGCTTGTATAACATGTGCAATTGGTGGTTCTTTCATAGTATACTTTTGTGGTGTCTTCTCCTAGCCTTTGTGGCCATAAATTATCATCTTTTTTTGTCCTAAGTGGGTAAGATTGCATAGCAACCAAGGTGAATCAATTGGTTGTGGCTTGGAGCCGATTGGACTAGTTGTTGGTTGAGAAAGGTACGTTTGATTGAGCCTGGAAAACCACCGTTTAAAGATCTTTTTGAGAGAGCTTCCACAACAACCCTGATTTCAAGGTCTTGCCTTTTAGAAAGGGAAAACCGTTGGCCGGCACGGCCGCCGATTCTCCTGTCGATGGGCCTTATTGGCATCTTGGGTGGTTGAGTTTCAGGGAGTGTAAGGATTTCTTGGAGAGTTCAGAAGTGAGTCTGAGTGAGGATTCGTTGGTGTATTTAGGTTGTAAATACGAGGATGATGTTGTCTATTGGGCTGTTGAAGTATGTAATGCTAGTGGCTTGGTGAGTGAACTGGAGACCAGACAGTTTTGATTTGTGGAGTTAAGAACTCTTATTGTAGCCACTGATTGGGCTGATGCAAAAGCAATGGGTGAGCTTGCGGTTGCTGGCCACGTAAGTGTTGCTTTCTAGGCATGTAAGCCTATGTATCTTTGGTCTTTTTTACTTCCGATTATCATTTTCTATGTTGAAATATTTAATCTTCTGTTTTGAAAATTTTACTTGCATTTGAATTCTAGGTTTAAGTTTAGTGAGTAATTCGAACCAGAATGAAGTTTAACGATCAAACTGAAATTTTGATAAACTTTTATCGATCACCAATGTATGTTATTGGCTGAGAAACACTGTTGCAGCTGGGTTATAGGTCATTAGTGGCTTAAGCATCATGTCATTGTGGAAAAAGATACTTGTTATTGAGCGAAAATCAACTACTCTTGTAACGCCCCGAACTCTTTTTCATATTATTATATTATTTTTAAATTAAATTAAGCTCGAGGTGCTACCAAAACTTTTCTCTATCTAATTTAAGCGGAAATATATCGAAAATACTTGATTTGAAATTATTAATTTAAAATTTAACATAACATATTGAATGGTTGAACAACATATTAAATAACATGCATACGATATTCTTCAAATAAAAGTGGACAATTATCTTTCTAGAAAATTTACTTGACGACCCCATTAGCATCGCTTTGTCAATCTTCCACGCATCGACATGATCCGTTCTCATCTGAAAATATAGTAAGAGTGAGTATTTTGAAAATACTCAGTAAAAATACATGCATATTCTTATAACATGATATAAACATAATATGACATAACATACCGACATTTCTTAAATTTAGAGCAACTGGTCGCGATTCCAATAGCTCAAGGAATTTATTAAGAATCCCCATATCCCGTATGATTTAACTTCTTTTCTTTGACCTGACGGTCCATCCCGAAGGATTTAACATATAATTCGACCCGAAGGCCTTATAGTATTTCATGCCAAATTTACATAAATATCAAGAATAAGATTTTACCACTTGCACCATATATTCTTGCCTCAATTAACACCCAATATTCTGAAACAAAAGTCAATTGAAATGATAATATGAAAATAAATAGAGTGTGTGTGTTAAAATGAACTCATAAAATTTCTAATATAAAACACTCTCATCTCGTACCATATATATAATTACTCGCTCGTAACATACAAGGAATTCAAAAGGTTGGTGACATAAATTTAAAATCAATGAATTTAATTAATACTTAATTAGGATAATCATTTTAGTAATTATGTTTACTATCTTTTGGAATTCCTACATGAATCGTATCGTTTTTCTTTGCCTTTCGTTTTATATATATATATATATATAAAATATTAAAGGTTAACACTTTTCTTTTTATTAGAATAACTCGGACATGACTAACCCAAAATTACTTTTTCTTGATTCCAAATTATATTATTTAACACGAGCTATAAAACGAGTATAATATTGATATATTTTTATCAACTTTAAATATTTGACTCAAATAATTTTCTAAAAGTTCATGTAAACAAATAAATCATTTATGCTAAATGACAAGTTTAGATTCACAT